TAAATTCTATTACATATTTCTCATTCTACAAAAGATTCGCTGCTTGTTGCTCTTGTCTGCAAAGCATTCTTCAGTAAGGCCAACATTTAAATACTTGCCTCCTGATAAATTCAAGCATTTTTACAACTTCTCGTTTGCAAAAAATAAATGCATTGACCTCTACAAAGTGTTCAGATTTCTGACATTTCACAGGTCTATGCTCTAGCCTGCAGTTTACTTGCATTTGACCAATCCTATAGCTACACTATAGAACACTTACTAAAGAGTTTTGACTATGGATTAGAATACATGATTTCACAAAATAACTTCATAAATCCCCTTAATTTCTGTAAGACTTCATTCAGGCTTCCTTTGCTTCCAACTGAAAAGCACTGAGTCCTCTGAAACAGAAGAAGGCTGATACTTTGCCCAGAGTCGCTACATACCAGTTCTCCTTCCAGGAGAGAACTTGTATAAAGAGAACAGTACCTCTACAAGGTTAAATAACTTCCATCTGCTGCTGTGCTCTTGTACATGACTCTGCTGGAGCAGAACAGATCCTTAGCTTGGTAAGGTTAACAACTCACTTTTTCTTACTGGCAACTTCATGCCTATCTTTCTTTTCCTCAGTGTTCTCTCCATTGTGTTGTGACTGGTTGGTGTCTGGAGCTTCAGACCCTCCATTCAGAACCTTTGAACCTTTAAAAGGAAAGGGAAAGAAAAACAGTACTGCATGAAGCAAAACTGCTAGGAGAAGCCCCAGGTAATTTCTTTACCTTCATCAACTCAAACACAATAAATGTTTTGCCCTCACCTTGGTATCAAGCAGCTGGAACAAAATAAAAAGCAGTCACTGATACAGATTCTGCTTCTGAAAATTCCATGCAACAACCTTCATTCCATAACTTTAATACTGGGAAATCAACAGTGTGTATATTTCATGCCCTTACGAGCTCTTCTTGTGCTTGCTGGGCTACAGATAATAGGAGTAATATTTATGTTTGAGCCCTGAGATAAAATATTTCGGTAGTAAATTCTGTCTACCACTCCAACCTGGTCACATAACTTGGGGGGATTTTTGAGACTGATTGGAGAAGCACCTGGTTCCACGTTTATTCTCAACTCTTAACATGTATATAATGAATAAACCATATACACAAATAAAGTGTTCGGTTATAGCACATAATTGTCAAGCTGGAAGACGAAACACCAAGTAGAAGCTTTATGTAGTGACATCAGAGCAGGAGTATTTAACCTCTTTAACACTTCTGTGATGTGTTTGTGTTTTGCTATGATATGACAAGGCAGTGAATTGTGAGTGAACTGCTGAGGAATGTCACTTCCAAGTCAGAAGTGACAGCCCCTTTTATTTTAGATTTACTCTGAATCAGTTCTAACCTGAATGCCATGGGACAAATTCAGTGAAACAATGCTATCATCCCTTTTTACAACGTAGACAGTCTGAAGCTGTACTTCACCTGAAGCACAAACTTCTGTAATCATTGTGCTTCATAAAGATAAGCGTAAAGCTTCAGCAGCTCCATTTTAAAAAGTGTAGAAGTACAAACATGAGGAGCCATAAATTCTCTTTGTAGCAAATTAGGAAAAATCTACTTCCACGTAGGATCCTCCTACTCCAATGAAACTTCTTACCATTCTCTGCTTGACTAGGCAGTGACATGACATTTTAGTGTGTTAAGTCTTGTGTTAACCTGATCTGTAGTAGCTTCACTAGTTAAGACTCTATGTAGAAAGTCTTTCAGGTTAGACTCTGTTAAAAGTATTATCTGTGTTAACCACTGAGTTGACTAAGATCTGTGTGGAACCTCTACTACAGCATACATTATTTCTCTCACCATAAAGTGGTTGGATATTATCATCCTCCTTGCTTTCTTAGCAGTTATAAATGCAGTGGCATTTCAACTACAGTTATTCTGAATCACTGGCATCCTCTATCACCTCAGTTACAGTAACTTCTTTATTCCAGATCCAGGTGGTGTAACTTTCAAACAGTTTTCTGGAACAGTTTTGCTCCCATGATTCAAGTTCAAAGTAAATATATTTTCTCTTCAGTGCCTGTGGAGATCAATGATCTAAATAATTTTAAGCAGATGGGTAGAACTCCTGTGTCTTCAAGGATTTAAATTCATTTGCAATACAGCTTTATAATGCTTCTGTCTCAATTTCCTGTATTTAAAAATGGAACATCTATTTTAATATATTTCTTTCACTTGTGGGTTGTTTTGGGTCTGTGTTTTGTTGTTGCTGTTGTTGTTGTTGTTTGGTTTGTTTGTTTTTTAAATAGCTGACCTAAGCTATTGTAGAGCACAGTTACTGTGGAAAGCTTTCAGTAGTGTGCTGTACTTGTACAGGTGCTCATGATTAATCCAAAATAGTACTGCTGCTCTCAAGGATGACCATTTCTTCCCTGTTAGACTGAACTACTAAACTTGTACCACAGAAGTAGCATGCAAGTAGCTAAAAGCTGCTGCTACATCTAGTAGCATGGATGATACAGGAGAGGCTAATGAACGAAATTAAGCAGTTAAAACGAAGGCGGAAGTATAGGCATCAAAAGGCTACTTGAGTACTGGAAGGTAGTACGTTATTGTACCTCTTCTTTAATGGTTTTTGTTTGTTTGTTTTTAATTCCACAAGGTAATAAAGAATTCACATAGAAGTAAAATATGAAGAACTCTGTTGTTGCTGTTGCCTTCAGGCAACAATGGTAAAAGAGCCACAGAAAACATTATACCCTTGAACTTTAAAATTAGTTATAGCACTATTATCTTGGCTGTTTCAGATATATAAAGGTTCTAATATTGTTGGAAGAACTCCAACATCAAAGATTTTTTTAAGTTTGCTCAGAAATTGGTGGAGACTAGGTCTTTTATATGACAAGAAACTAAAAACACTGTGATGTACCTGTTTGGTCCTTTTCCTTTTCCGTTTTTTTGCTTGCTCCTTTCTTCCACTGTTCTTTGGTTTTGTTTGCTTCCTCATGCTGCTTCTGCTCAGCAAGTGATTTATTTAGTACTTGGGAAAGAACAGAATCTCCTTCCCCAACCAGAAACATGGTCTTGAACTTGTTGTATAGCATCGTAGACTTCTCCATGATAACTTGGCTAACTTTGAATTTACGTATCTGAAATCAAAATAATAAAACAATGAGCTCCACTTTGGCATTTAAATATCTATATAATTTCATCAGGAGTTAGATGAAATTTTTAATTTAACCTAAAATGAGATGACAGACTTTTACACTCTTTGAAGCACCACAAAATCCCAGAACAGCCCAGGCTGGAGGGGACCCTGAAGGAGATCTGGTGCAAGCCCTTCCTGGGAAGGGAGCCTGGATGAGTTCATCAACCACCCCATCCGGTCCCATCCCAAGAACCTCCAGCCACTGGGACTCCACCACAGCCCTGGGGAGGCTCTTCCAGCGAGTGATTGCTCTCACTGGAAAAAAAAACCTTTTTTATATCAAGATGAAACCTCTTCTGATGCAACTTTACCTGCTTCCCCTTATGTCTTCTCCATGAGGCTCCTTGTGAAGAGAGAGAGACCCTCTGTCCTCTCAGTAGCTGCCCTTTAAATGCTGTAATCCTGTGATAAGGTCCTTCTTGAGACTTCTCTGGGAAGAAAAGACCTAACCCTTATAAGGACTCTTTCCTTATAAAGCAGATTCTCCAACCCTCTGGTCATCTTCATGGCCCTCTGGACCCTCTCCAGTCTGTCTGCATTGTTCTTGAATTGTGGGGACCAGAAGAGGACACAGTACTCTAGTATTAAGTTAACACTGATATTTTAAGAACACACACGTTACTTTGATTAATATTGCAGATCTCACCTTCTTCAGAGTCAGAATCATCTCTGTATGTTTCTGAGCTTGCTGCATTGTGACCTGCAGGGATGCAAGCTCATCAAGAGCCTCAATACACCTGTTCACATCCTGTACAAAAACAAGAAACTGGTGTGAAGACGTGACTTACATTTTAATAATCTTTCATTAGCCGTACTAATTTCCATGGCCAGTGATACTTTCTGGGAATATCCTTAATTTGACTATGTACTTAATTTTAGAACAATTTGTACAGCCAAACTTGCAAACAAAAACTAACATCAGTTGCCTTCAGCTACTTCTGTAATAAAAGGCAGATACTATTTCAATAACTTGTAATTTTTAAAAATAACTTTATACTTTCAAAATACCAACTCAAGCTTGATGCCACTTTCACAACTTCAGTACTTCTGTGCTTGAAGCTGTTTTCCATACACAATTTTCCCCCAGTGACTTGCCACAGACAGGCAGCAGAGGATCTGCAGTGGACTGGAGTTTAAAATATACAGAACTTTGAAGATTTTTCAGTGAAAAGTTTGATGAATGACACACTATGCGGCACACCCAGAAGTCACTGAGTGAGCTTCTGATCCCTTTCTGAGAACTACTGTTCTAAAATCTTCCTGTAATACTATTTTCAAGATGTTCAGCTACTCTTGCTTATTTCACTTCCTGTGTAGAACTAACAAGGTTCATCCCCAGTACAGGTCGTAATAATATTCTGCATCTTGTATAAAGTTGTATCTCCTATGATGAGAGGAAATCAGTATTACCCACCCTCAACATATTAGGATTATGCTCAGAATTCCTATCATTGTGTTTACTTTGTAAATAGAAGCATGATAAACAAAGTGTCCTTCCCGTACTCTACAATGTTTTCCCCAGTATTCCAAGGCATTTGCTCCATTATACCTCTGAATCAGGAGTTCTGTGGGGTTTGGGGGGTTTTCTGGTTTTGTTTTTTTCTTATTATTTTAGGAGAATTTACTATCTGTCTCAGGACACAGTGATTTATTCAAGTCAAACCATTCAGCTGCAAAGCAAAAATATTCTACACTCTATTAAAAGTGATCTGTGATTTTGAGACAAGTATTTGCCATAGACTTAAAGTAATTTAAGAACAGGCCACACTGGTAATGAATGTTTCCTATTTAACACTGGTGGATCAGCCTTGGCCAGCAGCCCGATGCTTGCCCAGCTACTCTACTCACCTCTCCCTCCACAACAGTGGAGGGGGAGAAAATAGGGTGAGAAGGCGCAGGGGTGGAGATAAAGACAAGGAAATTGATTACCAGCTACTGCTGTAGGCAAAACAGATTCTATGTGAGGAAAACTGATGTATTACCCATTGAAACAGATCTGTGTCATGAGAAACAGACAATTGTGAAATCAACACTTTTCCTTACCCCCTTTTCCCATGCTCAAATTCACCCCAGACTCCCCTCCCCAGCCCACCCCGAAGCAGTGCAGCAGGGGCATCACAGCTCCTTTCTGCAACTCCTCCCCTCTCACATTCTCCTCTGGTCCAGCCTGAGCTCTCCCCACAGGCCACAGTCCTTCAGGAGAAATCTCCAGTGTGGGATCACCACAGACCACACTGTAGACATCTGCTCTTTTGTAGTTTCTTCCACATACTGCAGGGGAATACCTGCTCCAGGAACATGGGGCACCTCCTCCCTTCTCTGACCTTGGTGTTCCCCCTGCCATTTCTCAATCCATCCTCTCCTCCTCCTCTTCTCTCTGCCCAGTGTGTTTTGCACTTTCTTCAAGCAAGTTTTCACAGAGGCACTACCTTCTTGCTGAGGGGAGCAGCTGTGCCCTGCTGGAGAGGAGCCAGGTAGAGCTGTTTGTCCCACCAGGCACAGGTCCTACTACTACTATCAGAACCTGTGTCCAACACCAAATGCAACACAGTTTCCACTGTTGAGCCCTTTGCTGCTTCTCTTGCTACTGTATTTCTTCACTGACACTTGTATTTTCTCACTGTACACATGGCACTCCCAAAACAAGAACACTAAATCAATTCAGCACCATCCCTGCAATGTTACACTGAAAAGACCATTTAATCAGTCGGGGGAAGTCCTCAAAATTATGTCACTCTAACACCTCTCCTTGGCCAGTTAATAGTGGCAGTGAGAGACTTCTTGTCTTCAGCAGTACATAAAGGCAGAGACGGAATGAAGCCTTTTGCTTCCTTTTTCACAGTTGTGTAAATGCAAACGGACTTCTGAAGATTTGCATCCCCTATAGGACCTCAAATAAGGAGAGACTGCTGAAGTATTTTTGGTTTGGTCTCATGATTTGAGGTTTCACTTACAGAAAAAAACAGACCAAAACAAAACTAACAAAAGCAGTAATCTTGACTGCAGAAACCCTGGCAGTATTGTTCTAAAACACTGAAGGCATAAAAATTAAAATAAGCTTAAAAAAAATACAGCGATATAGCTCTGGTCCTTCCCTATGTTTTCACTCTCTAGCCTTAACACTGGATGCTAAAATGTAAGAAGACTTTAAATGAAAATATGAGAGTGCCTGATGACCCTCAATGTAAAAAATGATTTTTCTTCTGGTTAATCAGTATTTCCTGCACAGACATCAGTGTTCATTGCCTCCTGTCCTGTCACTGAGAAGAGTCTGGGTCTGTTATCTTTCCACACTCTGTTCAGGTTTTTCCACATGTGGAGAAGATCCCACTCTCAGCCTTCTCTTCTCCAGGCTGAACACTCCTAGCTCACTCAGTCTCTTCTGCAACAGATGCTCCAAGCCCTTAATTCATCTTCACTGCCTTTCATTGACCTCCCTACAGTATGTCCATGTCTATACTGTGCTACTGAGCCCAAAGCAGGATCCAGTCTCTCGCCTGTGCCAAGCAGAGGGCAGCCCTCACCCACCCAGGTCACCTGTCCCTGCTTACACTTCCTGTATATTTGGGTTTTGGGTGTTTTTTTTGTGAGTGTCCTGACTGTAGTCAGGAGCTCCTTGTTCACCCGTACAGCCCTCCAGGCACTTGCTATCACACTGAGAAGCCTCCTGGATTGCTGTACAATCCCCCCGTGTTGTCCCTTCAGCAGGTACCAGAATGGTTCAAGCCTCCAAAGAGGACTAGAGCCCAGTCTGAACCTGAGGCATCTCCCGATTGCCTTAAGATGACTTCATTCTCTGCTTCTGCCTGATCAGCTGATCTGCAGCAGACATCCTCAGGATGTCACCCATATTGGTCTGCCCATTAATCCTGACCCATAAGCTCTTTCAGTTGGCCCAACATCTGTCCCACTGCAGAGCTCCACACATTCCCACTGGTCTCCTGCACAAAGTTACTCTGTATCTTCTATTCCCAGCACCCATCTTTCCAAAAGAGCATGTACACAGACATGGCAAGGCTCCATTCCCATGAACCACCTTACCAAATCTCTGATGCCAAGGCAATGAGAGCCCTACAACTGCAGACAACATCCAGCTCCTCTGGGCTGTTCACCACACTCTATGCATTAGTGTACAGCCACTTCAAAGAGGCACCCAGTTCTGCTGACTTTCCAGAAAGGTTATGAGAGCTTTCCTCATAATGCTGTGCTACCACCACTTTCTCATTTCTGTGCCCACGCTTGTGGTGATGCCGCTTCAAACCTGTCCTGTGGAGGAATTCTGTTAATTACAAGACCAATTCTGTTTACATCACCCTGCATAATTTGATTACCATCCTGCTCCACCACTTCCTCACTCTCTCCTCCACTACTGTTCTTAGTTTAAACTTCTTTAACTAGGCTGGCCAGTTTCTTGGCACCACTACTTTTGGGCAGATCCTGCCAGCTCCTAGCAGCCCTATCCATTCCTTCAGAAGTCCCTTCCTCAAGAAGGAGACTACCACCTGGGTCCCCATAACTTCACCATTGCCTTCAGAGTCATGCAGCCATACTTGATACCTTTCAGGTCTCCTCTTACTGTACCATTATTGTCCTAATGTAGGAAACTATCAGCAGCTAATAAATAGTCCCAAGGCCAGGCAAGCCTCAACCATCTGTCACCAATTTTCCAAGTCTGAGCCCCCAGCAAGGAGCAGGTTTCCCTTGACAACAAATGGGGTCAGCAGATGGTGGCCTCCATCCCTTGCCACATCAGGGAGTCTGCCACTTCTGCGGTCACTGGGTCCTTCTGGTGATTCGGCATGGCTCAGGCTGAGCTGGCACAGATGCTTCTGTTTTCCAGAATTCTGTCTGAATGTTTCCAGTAAATAATTTAGTATGAAGTATTTAAAAAAAAAATCCCAATTTTGCTTGCTGACATGGATCTTTTAACATCCATTGTAAACTCACTGAAGCACCAGTTATCTTTCAAACTGAAAAAATTCCATTCATTCTCAGAACATTAACTAAAAGCAAACACACGTGCCAAGTATTTCTTACTGGAATTATATACATAAATCCATTTAAAAAAAAAAATGCCAAACTTACAAGATTATCAATTTTCAGGGAGTTCTTAATTTCTGCATGTATCCTTTGAAGCCTAGAATCCATTGATGTTTCTGAAGATTAAAAATAATATGCATGAATATTCGATAATCCAAATAGGAGGTTTGCTTTTGTAGAAACCCTTCTACAAATCTGAACTTCACACAGAAAAATACAGCCAAGCCCTCTAGATCACATAATGATGCATGCGGACATGAGCACACCACAGGGCTTACTACCAGAAATAAAGTACACAGCTTTTTAAAGTAGCACACTGTTAGCAACCTACATAGCTTTCTCCTTAGGCGTTACAAACTGATAATAATTTTCTATTTCAATGTAGAGCTGTGACCCTCTCATTGTGGGCCAGGTTAAAAGGCAGTTTCCATAAATACTAAGAGTTATGAAGCTGTAAAACCCTTAATGACCAGGGTCTTGGTGGTTTTGTTTTCAGTAATTTGGATATGATTCAAGTTACAGTCCAACTCCATCCAAATAAAGTGTTCCCCAGCACACATGCTCCAGCAAGTGTGCAAGATGACTGACCACGTCCATCTCTAATTTACATGCTGAACCCCCATTTGGATTTTTTTCATACACAAGTGGCATATATTCTGCACAACATGGCAAGCAAACAGTTTTCTTCAAGTCCAATCCATCTTGGATGGTTTTGAGTAATTTGTTTTCACTAGTCAACACTGGGTTGGTTGGAGTCCATGCCACTGGATCTGTACTGTACTACAAATTACAGCCAGTGGTTTGGCTTGCCCTTAAAGATGGGAGTACTAAAAACAGAATGGCTTATCCCTATGAAGGTCAGTTTGCAAGTGTGGGTTAGTAGACAAGACCACAGTAATCTGAACGTAAGCCTCCTGCTTAGGAAGAACAAGCCTCTTGCTGAGCAAGCCTCCTGCTTGTAAGAGGTAGTATCTAAATACTTTAAAGAGGTCCCTCAGGTTATTGTGTTAAAAAGGAAAAAAATGAAGGGAAGAACTAAAGTGACTCAGTTCAAAGAGTAAGAGGTTTTGTTACTTGTTCACAAACAGAGGGGATCATAGAGGGTTCAAAGGTTGAACGACAGTAAAATGGGAAGAGTGAAGACCTGTTCCAGTGCACTGAAGGAAGAAAGACCCAACAAAGAACAAGAATGCAAGGTTTCATGGACCTGAAGGATGCAAATCATGGATCAAACATGTCAGACTGAGACCCCAGAGCCACCCTTAGGAATAAAGTAATCTTATCCAGGCAGGCAACTATTCAAAATTTGAGATAATCAAAAATACTGTTTAGCTTCTTTAAACTAACCTCTCTTCTTCTCCATCTTCTTAACTTCTGTTTTCTTGCCTTCTTCTTTACTCTGCCTATAAGAAATGTTAGAAGTGTTCTTACAGTGTTGTAAAGTCCATTTTTCAGTCTTTCCCCCACCCCAATTTTCAGATGAGATTAAACATTCTGAGGTATTCTCTCACTAAAACATTAGCATGCAAAAAACCCAAAGAGCCAAATCTGGGTTTTCAAAGAGTGCCATAAAGTAATAAAATTAGTTACACTACTGCTGATAAATCCTCTGTAGTGACAGATGATTTTTCCCTAGAAGCAGCAAATTAAAGGATTCTTTTAAAAAAAAAATTACATTTCCAAATTGTATTTTGATTTGGTTACATGTACAAAATGGTAAAATGGTATTGTATGGAATTAACTTATACTGAAAGAAAATGTTTTTACTAGGTTGACACAAAGAGTAGAATTATTTAACATTGCCATGTGGAGTTTTAGAGAGATCAGTTAGTCATACTCAGTTCCTATGTGACTTATTTTCTCATGAAATTAATTATAACAGTGTAATTATCCTCCAACTGACCATAAATGTTTCAGTGATCATTTAAATATTCCTGAAGCAAACAGTAATAAAAGAAAAATACTTACTACAGGTTAATTGAAATCTCCTGGCCCTTTCTCTAATTGTATCAGTAAAATAAAGCTGGGTCTCAAGAAAAACAAAACAAAACAAAATTTGTCTCCACCTCAGTTACAGGATGAGGACAGGCAGAAGCCATTCAGACAAGCTTTTAAATTCTGTATTCAGGGGAGACTGTGAACCCCTGCTTAGAAGTTCTTCAGTCTTGCCTTACTGAGGGGTTTCAAAGCCTTATTCTAGAATTCACATATTTCAGCACTTCCTGACTAAATGTTGTGCAACTAATTTTCTTCCTGTCACAGTAATACGCATCCATAAAACATCCAGGCCTGCAAGTCTACCATCTTCCATGTTCCTTTCATACTCCATCCACTTACAGAATCAAAAGTTTTAAAGTACATAAGACTATTTTACTTCAACTGAAGTACAAGGTCATGCTCTTTAAATGGTACATGTAAACTTTGTCTATGTACAGAACAGTGTACAAAGCACTGTTGTTAGACTTAAATAAACATTAACAAAGTAGCTACAAAGATTAGAAAATGGAAACCATGCTGCTGACAAAAGTAACCAAAAAAGCTATCAGTCTGTTCAGTGTATTGGTAGATGAACTTAGCAACAGACAGCACAAGAAGAAGTCTTTTTATTTTTTATCAATATTGAGTTTTGTGGTGTTAGTCATCAGGTATAATTAAATTAATTATGCATTCATTAACTACTAATCCTTTACCTTACTAAAACAAAGCTCCATCTACTCTGCAGTACAGAAAATATGACAGCTATGTAAAAGTAGAGGAGATTTGATAACGAAATCAATATACGATAGCTTGACTGCAGAAATCAATCAGCATGTCAGATTTAAACAGCAATGTTAAGAGCTGCAAAGATAAAGATCATTTAAATATCTCTGGAATTAGAAACGTGCAGGTTTGCTATAGGCAAGTAAAATAATTATGGTGGGTTTCCCAAGGAGGGATAGGAGAAGAAAGGGACAGAGTATAAAATAAAACCCTAAAAACCCAAACAAACTAGATTCTTGTTATGAATATGAAAAAGGTAGGATTTTGTTGTTACAGGTGAAGAGGATCGTAATTTTTTTCCTTTTTCTCTGAATTTTTAGCTTGTTCTTTTCTTCTGCCCTCCCACTGTATGGGTGGGACCATTATGCTCTCGTGGTGGTGGCCTCTGCACCAATTTGCAGAATAGCTCTTACGAATGAGTTAGACTTCCTCCTATTGTCCTACCTGCCCACCGTCTCCCAGCTTCTGCCAGAATCTTCTCTCCATTCTTCTGCTTGATTCATTTGTGAGAATTTAACTTCTGAATGCAGACTGCTCTTAGTATCATTCAACTGGGCTTGCCCTGCTAGAGTATAATTCTTAATTTTTTTTCCTTTTCTGTCTGGCAGTGTGCTCCAGCTGTCAGACAGAAGGAAGTGTTTTTCCAGGTTTCCTGTGCATTCCACAACCTGATCAAAAATCCATAACCACGGATTCACAGGTCCTACTCATTCTCAGTCAAAACTTAAAAGAAAATTACAAGGCTGTCCTGAACAGTTTTTCACACTGATCCCTTTCCATGTAGATATTCTTAGGTTACTTCTAAACAGAACTCACCAACTATCTTCTGCTAGAAATTCTAAGTGACTGAAAGAAAGACCGATGCCACCTAATTTCTAGGCCGAACTGAGAAATTAATCCTAGAACAGGATGTATTGGTTTAGAGGAGCTTTTCATCCTTCCACAAAAAGAATTTAAAATAGCAAAGAGGTGTCAAGGGGAGAGAACAAAAGAACACAGTGCAAAACACTCTGGCATTTTTTCAGATATTGTCTCCTTCTGTTTGTTTCAGAGCACTCTTGTAACCTGTGGACATCACACATCAAAGCATACTCACGATTCAGAGTCTGTTTGTTCCTCTTGCTTACGCTTTCTTTCTGCTGCTTCCTTCTCATGCTGGCCTCTTACAATGTTTCTTCTGTGAGCTGCCTGAAAGCTTCTTCCCCCTTTTTTCTTCTGTGTTTTTTTTTTGGGGGGAGAGATTTTAGAATTGGAATGAGAAAAGCAAGATTATTAAACCACTGTTTTGGTAAACAGGCAATCCTACCTACACCAAGTATCTTTGAAGCATTTCTGTTCTGTTCAACAACCTGACAAGATCAGGCTTCCCCCACAAGTCCTCCACATATTGACAGCTTCTCAGCTTCTTTAGTCCTTTCTCTTTGTCCTTTCCTAACAGAAGGCAAATACCCTAAGCACCAGAAAACTGGAAGACATTCCAAATGGTTGGCTAGGGACAGCTTTACACCTTTCAAAAACTTCATTTCAAGCCAAATGTTCTCCTAAATGCACCCAAGGGGGAAAAAAAAAAAGTCTATGCTCCAAATAGCATAGATGGAAAAAAACTTCTGACAAAGTAAATGCTACATTTAAATCTTTAGTTAAAAAGTTTTAGAAAAGATGCTTTTCTTACAAAAATAGTGAAGTACTTCCGGAAAGCATTATTTCACAAAATGAAGTTCTGCAACTTTCACTCTATGTATCTTATTAGCCAGCCACAGCACTCCAACCTTTACTGAGATCTAGCATTAACTTCAAGAAAGATTTTCAGTGATACTACTTTCCTCTATTATAACAGGAAAGCAAAATTGTACCTTGTCACCTTCTTGTTCTTCTCCATCATCCTCAGAATCAGAAGCTGACACAGAGCCCACTTTTGTAGCATTCTTCCTTTTTGGTTCAGCCTCTTTCTTGCCTTCTTTTTTGTCAAGCTCCTTCTTCGATTTCTCCTCTTCCTTCTGACTTTCCTCATCTTTTTTCCCTTGCTTTTTGGGCTTTTCTTCTGGTCCTTTTCTCTTTGCCTTCTCATCCTCATTAACACTAAAACATGAACAGTATTTAGGCATCATATTCATTACGTACAGTGAGTTTAAAATATCACATTCTTCTAACCTGGGAAGTTGATTTTTTTTTTTTTAACCACGGAGTATTAGAAAATACCAAGTTCATTCACTCTCAGTTCATTTAATGACTCTTCAAAGAATATGCACATTTGTTTGGGTTTTTTAAATTAAAGGCCACTACTTATGCATAGAAGCAAAGAAATAATAGTATGAAGGCCCTAATGAAGTTAACGTTAATACATGTGCATAGATCCAAACCTAAGAATTTAATGCTCAGAAGTTCTCCACACACATACCTGTCTGCAGCACCAAGAGTGCATCTAGTGTAAACTAGCTTTATGAAGTATACTTATTACAGGTGTACATATCCTGAAACTCCAGTATTAGCATCTGCTAATCTGTAGTAAACTACACTAATGCTCAACTTTTCCTTCAATTACTACAACCACTAAGGACTTGACACAAGAACTGAAGATGGTAAAAGCCCCAATGTTTAGGTAATAAATAGGATTGGAATTTGTTCAGAACATATTTCTGAAACACAATTTTAAAAACCAAAATCCGTATTTTAGTTTTACATGATGTTGTCTTTTAAGTATCTCCTCCTCTTCATTCCGTATACAATGACACAAGGAGTTTTTCACAGACTTTACAAGTTAGGAAGGTTAAGATCACCTGTCTCTTGTTCCAGAAGTGTACTGCCTGGAGTTGCTACGTATTAATTACCTGAGCTGTAAGTATCAAAGCAAACAGTAACTCGTATTGAATACTAAGGGGCAAAACCCATCAGGAACTGAGTACCAATTATGAAATCTTAACAAGGACAATACAATTTACAATGAAATTTACAATGATTTTTTTATGTAAAAAAGAAAATAGAACAACTCACAAGTCACTCTCTGAAAGACAAGATGGTTTCACTAGCTTGGGTCTCCCTCGTGGTTTTGGAACCTTTACTTCAGAAGCTAGTATTTACACAGAAATAACAAGTTAGTCCACAGCCAGCACCTGCTCCTTGTCTGTGAGGTAAGGTTTACCAAACAGACAGAAGCTACACTTAAAACACATACCCTAACTTTGTTACTATACAAAATCTGTGCGTTTAGTACCAAACTTTAACCAAGATCTCTTTGAAAACCTTGTAGCTGTTTTAGCCAATTGGTAAATTAACAGCCTTGATAGCTTTTTAGCCACAGGATCCAACTATTAATTCTTGCTGTTTTTTTCTCAATCTCTGTAGTTATGAATTTTTTTATATGTTGCATAACCAATACGAATGTCTCAAAACATAGAATGAGAAAGTCTGAAATCAGAGCATAGAAAGAAGTCATTTAGTGTCTCCATTTACGCAGACTACTTGCCATGATTTTTAGATGTATTGATGGCGTCTGCCATTTCTCCTGACTCAAACTACAGTATAGACCAAAACTTTGCATTTCCTTAGATTCACTGCATTGCTAGGAATAAGACAGCATGTCTGCCTTCTTGGTACACATCCACAGTGAACATCTAGTTAGGAAGCCAAGTCCTCGGGGTTTAAACTCCTCTTGGTGTCAGCATGGAGTGCTGTTAAGCAAGAGGTGCACACATCATACTATCACCAGAACAGGCTGCATAGTGCATCTTTTAGAAAGGTATTTTACACAGGAGGTGAAAGCATCTCTTACAGATACTTTCCTGCTCTTACAGACAGTAGTTAGGTAAGAACAAACAGAAAACGTCGATATAAAGCCACAGACAAATATTAAAAGTGTGAATTTAGTACATGTAATGAAAAAAGGGGAGGGGGAAGGAGGAGCAGAAGGGTAGCTGAAGTAATATGTAATTTACTCACAGCTTCCAAGACCAAAGTAATTAAATCTAGTTAACTGTGGTTGCACTTCTAGAAAGTTATTTTCACACTGTCAGCAGGTACATCGGAGTACAAATTATTTGTTTCCCAGACTAGGATGCTCATACTAAGTACTTAGCTGCTGCAAGTATTGCTTTCCAAGGTAGTAAATGATCAATTGAAGAATATCTGCAAACTTGCCACAAAAATTCCAATGAACTAGAACACTACTACTTTGAAAGAGACTGCAGCATTATCACCAAATGGTTCTAATGACACCTTTTAAGAAAAGCTGTATCTTCTCCTGTGTCTACCAATTTACACAAGCTGCCTTTAACATCTGTTTAAACAAGTCTCTCCAGCTCTTTGTTTCTGCTGTCCTCTGAGCTCCACCTACAGGCTCTGTGGTTCTATTCCTTGTGTTTTATAGATTTTCTAACACAACTTAAGTATTTTATAGACCTTAAAGGAACATAAACCTTTATGGAGTGAAAACGCACGAAGAGCTGTTACTGTATATCTACAGTTTAGCAGTGCTGAAGCATGAAGAAGGCTTTTCTAGAGGTGATACTTGCACCCAAACCAAATGAGTATTCTTTTGAGGACTGAGCATCAACACTAAAAATTTAAATCTATTTATGTCCTAAATTCTGTTTGAGATGAGATGTTTTCTCATTACAATCTATTAGCAAAGACCATCTTTAGCATGAGAAAATACTCTGTAGCAGTTCAGCAGATAGCGACAAGCTCCTGTACTAACTCTCCTAAAATATTCCTGTGGTGTAAGAAACCAAATCTTTCCTTTAAAGTTACCTGATGGTCTTCCTCTTTTGGGGCTTACTTTTGGAGACACTGACACAGGAGGTGCTGCTGCCACTGCTGCTGCCACCACCGCTGCCACTGCCGCCGTTGCCACTGCTGCTGCTTCCTCAGCTTCAGCTTGCTTTTCAGCCTGATTTGAGGAATTAATTTCACAGGTGAGAAAACACAGGGAGCAGATATCTCAATTCTTTCCTCAAACAACAGTTTTAAGTCTCCTTTTAGAAGCCATCATCTCCCCTCACCAAAGTACCAAGCCAGTAGATGGAGCTATTTAGAAGAACACCGGCTTCCAGCTCTACAGCCAATTATTCACACTGAGAAACTGTGTTGAACCACACTAACTGGACACAAAGACCTTCACCTATGGAGTCATTTTAGGGGGGGTTGTAAAGACAGATAGAACTTATGACAAAGTAAGATCTTGATGAAAGGGTATGTATCCCCCTGCAGAAACATTCCACATCCACATATAGGGATGAAAAGAATTGAGTAAAACCCCAGCTGGAGAAGATTTTCACAGAATTTAGTGTCCTGGATTCAGGAGCATCACCTAGCAGCAACAGAAAAGTTATGGGCAAATACATATTTTTTTCTTAATATTTTTTTGTGGGCACCTATAATAGAAGATATTTTTAAAGAACAGAGACAAATCTGAAAGTAGAACAGAGTAGAGGTGAATCTTGTATTAACTATGCTTTCCATAAGCCTACAAAAAGGCTGTTTAAATGAAGACAGAAAAACACCTGTTAGAATGCCTTTTTTTAGCAAAGCCAGGAGAAGAAAACACCATGTTTCTTAAGGCAAATAAGAAACACATTCAAAGCAATATAACTGCTGTGCCAGTCCTCTTTTCTGATCCATGAGCACACACAACATCCCTCACGATGCTGGTTTTCTGTTCAGCTATGGCCTATAGCAAAGCAACCTTCTGGTTACACCCCTTGCCACACAGCACATGCCACACAACTCTGTCAGATGAAGCTAGCAAATGTGACAGAGGAAATCTTCTCAGGCCTGCAGTGCCTTACAAGGTGCAAAAAAAAAAAACCCACCTCAAATAAAGCAAAAGAAGAAACACCACTACCACAGGATTTGAGTGGTATTTTGATAAAGCAAAGGATGAGATGGTTTTTGTGCCTCTGTCACCTGTGAGGCTTCTTTCCCATTTACAAGCTGAAATCACATGTATGCACAGCCACAGACACTCAACTTCTTGCTGTTTCAGACCACAAGTTTTCTTTGAATTTTACTTTAGATTTCTATAAAATTTACTTTTTCTAAAAAAAAAAAAGGTATTCTTTAAATTATATTTTTAAAATATTCAAGTCATTTTTGCAGGAGCATCCAAACATGAACCTTTCTTTTTTGTGAAGCAGATGATACTCAGCATGTTACTTGCCCGTGACAGCCACACTAAGCTCACTGTTATTTCGCACTCCTCCCATCCCTGTTGTCAGCACTAATGATACCAATTAGAGGTTTCAAATTAAAATTAAACTTTGCCCCATTTTAATCTAGTTTTGAGTTGGGTCAGCGCCCTGATCTGGCTTGCTGTGTGACCAAATGAACATTAAGGCTGCAGCATGCTGACCAAACAGCTCAAACTGCCTCTTTCAAAGTAACTGAAATTTTTCCCAGATTGAAGAGACCACAAAGTCACAACCTCATGAAAAGGGGGAATATTTCAGGTGTAATTTCTGTTTGATGAAGATATTGAAATAAATTTTTCAGACCTTCAAAACAGACTATTTTATTAGCAGTCTAGCAACAGTTTCTATCTTACGTTTTTCTTACTTGCAACAGACAGTTTGGGAAAAGATGGGAACACTCTACGCTAAATTCAAACAGAATTAAGACCTGTAAAACGCCCTCTGGAAAAACTTTAATTCCGACAAAACTTTCAGCTGTTTGAAAGGGTAGAGGAGGGTGTCAAGTACTTAAACTTATGCATAATCTGTCATTAAAGAAAATATGTAGCGTCACAACATCCAAAAATGCCAGTAAGTTGAAGTAATTGAACATTTCGTTACCTTTCTTTTTCTTCCTCTTCGAGCAACTTTAGGAATAGAAGCATCATTTGTTTTCACCACATCCTGTGAAAATTAAAAATCGTGCTAAGAGTCTTAACAAAACAAAACCATATTTTAAATTATTCTAATTTTTTTCCACAACTGAAGACGCTGGCACATAATCTAGGCAAGACTCCTGTAATAAAAAAGCAACAGGCACCTATGTACATATTACTAAAATCTTGATTATCCTCTAATCACTATTTTTTCTCTGAAAGAAACAAAGTACTAAATAACTTTCTGTTTAAAATAAAGGTATGTAGTAATGTTTTAATCTGCCTAAAAGCTTTATCTAGTCTTTTTAAAAAGTACATTTGTAATACAGAATAGGTAATATAAAAACACATTGTTCCATCTGTTTCAGTTGAACTTACAGACAAGCTAGACTAAGTTTTCTCTCTGATTAAAGCTTCAATTCCCATTAGCTTCGATGACAGATACAAACATCAGTGAACACACAGAAAGTTTTATATAATTCCTTCTGATCCTGTCACAGCAGTCATAACTGTAGCTTCCTAGTAATCAGTAATACATTTACATCAATCAACATAATATTAAGAAATTCTTTGATACAAGAGAAAAGCTTTCACCTACTTCCTTACTGCTTTTTTCAGAAGGTAGATCATCTTCCTTTGAAGTATCCATCTCCTTTTCTTCTACTTCAGCTTCTGCAGGCAAGTTATTATCCCCTTTAGGGGATAACTGTAAAGGGAGTCAACATAAGTGTATAAAAAAATGCATTGAAAAGTACTTTGTAGTGAAAAGAGAACATGCTAATGACCACCACGCTGCTTTTCACTTTAAATAGTGCAAGTGTTTAGGTACACTCGTTTCTTAGGTACACATTAAAAGCCTAAGGCAAGACCACCTTCTCCAGTACCCGATGGCAGACAGCTGTCAGAAGAAGTCAAAATACAGCAATATACTATGGTGGAACTTAAATTCCACTTTGTGTTCATGATAGCACAGCTACACTTCTTCCATCACTATCACCATTACAGGAGTACTTCTAAGTGTGCACAACAGCACTCAACTTACAACTGGATCACTGTTTGTGTGCTCCATACAGATGGATATCCAAGTCACAGCACACACTTAGCACAATGTCACTCTACTAAACAAAGACCTAATGTAGTAAACGGACCACAAACAAGTTGTTTTGTTGTGTGATGGTAATCAGTGATAACTTGTGTCATCTAATCTATGCCTTTTTCCCTGTTTTGCTGTGGTTTGTTTGCTTGGTTGGTATTTTTTTATACCATAAAATACTAGTTTTCATTTCAGGTGAGCTGTTAAGACTTGAAAAATCAGGAGTTTGTAATAATTTACTTGAAAACAATCAACACTACCTTGCAGCCTGTGTATGTGCATGGTTTTTAGATCTTCAATTAACTCTCTCAACTTTAGTGGTATCACCTTGTCCCACTAGCAAGCACCTTTTGTGAAATTGCCTTTTAAAGTAGCTGCATTTCTTAAAATTTCAACACTTAACAAAGCAATTCAGGCACGAGGATACCCATGCAGTGCTCCTAATTACCTGAAGACATATTGTAGCACTGAGTCATTTTACATATTACAAGGTTAAGACAGAAGAATCACTGGTACACTAAAACCACAGGAAAGCAGAGTACAATGATGGGTTAAAAGAATGTGACAGCTACATCACTATCAAAAGAAAAGGAGCAAATTTGCTCCACACGTTGCCTTAAACTGATTAACTAATTGAGACTAATTACAGAAATCTATGTAAAAACAACTTGTTCAGGATCTTCCATTTCACCTTTTGTGTTTAAATGGCTCTTCTGCTTCTTTTTCACAGTGCCAGCTCAGGCCAGCCTGAAAGCACTTTTCAGGAGAAATATGGAGCTCAGGTCATTCCTAACCAGCACCTGCTGCTTGCTGTGTAAATGCATATCAAAGCAAACTGATGAACCAGCCCAATTTAAAAGTTTCACCCAGGTAGTAGCAGATACTGAGGAACAAATGCTTTTATCAGTAGCATGCACAGGCAAGAAGACAGAACAGTACTGGTTTACTAATACTACCAGGAAATTATATATTGAAGAGTGCTCCTGAAGTATAGCTCATAGAACCCAAATCACACTGACCTTCCACATGTGAAAGTAAAATAAGGAACACTCTAAGCAGAAAGAAGTTGAGAGAAATAACCCATCAATAACTCCACAGTCTCCAAATCATCAAAACAACTCTTGACATCACCTCTCAGTGGACCACCAGCATACTAATTTTTAATTTATATTTTTTTCCTCAAATTAAGTCTTTTTTCCTCTTGAAAAAACAAGCTATTACAGCTACTAGGCACTAATCCTAATAAGGAACATCCACTGTGTATCTGACATATTGCAGATTATTTGGACTAAAGGACAGACAGCTACACCCAGAGGAAGACTATATTCAATCTTGGCAAATAATCAAAAGGAGAACATTAAAAATTAAGGCAAATCTATTTGAAATATTTTGACACAATTTAAGTACTGCTCATACTGTTGAGCACTAATTTCCAGAAAGACTTAGAAATAAATGGCATAGAACAACTACATCAATCCCACCTGCATCACAATTTTTGTCATTTTAGAATTCTAGTCTCCTTAAAAAACAAACACAAAAAAACACACAAAACTAAAACACAAAACAGAGAAGAGATGGCACACAACATCTCTTCTGTGCCACATGAAAAATAATCCCACATGAACAAGCCAAAATATTAAAGGACAGACAACGTTCAAAGCAGGGTACTACACTACTGCCATGAAGTGTACGGTAAGCTAGGAAGGTTCAACTCTTACAGTACAAACTAGATACAGCACCAGCAAGCTGAAATAAAGGTGTTTCAGACAGAAACACACTTTCTTTAGTATGAAAACAATACATTTGAAGAGAACCAAACAACCATGTCTCACAAGGACTCTAAGGTATACACACATTTACAAAAGAAAGAAGCTGAACTCTGTCTACATAAACTAGTGAATCCCAATTACTCACAGATACTTTCCTGACTCAAGAGTTCAATCGATATTGCCATGAAATCCTTTACATCCACCTATAACCTCATTAGTCCAGTAGGAGTATGGCCCAATTCAAACTGATTCTTACTATCTGTTGAGGCTAGCAGGATGAAGAATCTGTTCAGCCCCGACAGAATCTAATGCTCCATTAGGCCTGTCAACAAACACTGTCATAACTGAAAGGGGACAGTCATACCTGTCTGTGATATTAAAAAGTCTTAAAAAACAAGAAGGGGAACTTAAAGCTAAATCCTGGTGACCATTTCCACCTTCTCCTGCCTAGGAAGTACTGTATGGATTTAGTTTAAGTACATTATGATTTAGAAATACACACCAGTAAATAAAATAAATTTCAAAGCACACACAGCACCTTAAACGGAATACAGAGGAAGAACAACATTACTATATGTATCTCTGAAAAGTAGCACAGGCAAGGCAATTAAAACAGTTAAAACACTGTTAAAGTATTTAAGTAAAAACTTGGAAATACAGTTGTCACTGTTTAGGGACAGGGCTGCCCCCAGACCTGTAACAGATGCCCACCTCTGCCCCCCAAAAAGGGACAGAGAATGAGGGAGAGAAACATCAACTAGAAAAGAAAAGGAACACAGCTTTAATATTGCTACTACTAATAATAGTGAAATAGTAATAAAATGGAATATATATATACACACAAAACCAGTATGGAACCCAACTGCCCCCTGATCACAATATGTCACTGTCAGCCCCGAGCTGTGGAGCAGCCCCTGGGGAAAAGTCCCAGGCTGGACTCAGTGGCAGAGTGCAGCTGGGTGCAGGAGCTGGGTTCTGGGACTCGGTTCAGGAACACACAGCTCGGGATCAAAGGCAGGATGGACAGAGCCCTCCTCAGATGTTAGCCCCTGCAGGAGCAGCAAAAGGGAGGAAACAATTTGAGGAAAAGCCTCACGATCCTTCAGCTTTATGCTGAATATGAGGGATACGGGATGGAATACACCATTGGTCAATTTTAGGGTCACTTATCTTGTCCACTCCTCCCTGCACATGTTTCTGCCCGACTCCATGTGGTGCACAGGGCTTAGCAGTGACCTTGGTCTGCACACCAGTCCTTGGTGGTAACTCTAAACATGGAGTGTTATCACTGCTAGAAGCAGACACTCTGCAAAAATATACTGCTAACTTCAGAGGGTGATGTTAATTAGAAAAGCTTTAGCTGAAAAGTAAAATCATTGAACGGAACCAGCTCTGTTCTACCCCAAACCAGGACAACAGTTCAGAATTAAAACTGTTTCTTGTAGAATAGAGGACAAATTCAGTCACTTACTTTTGGGATGGAAGACTTCCTTCTTTTGGCTCCTGCTTTCTCCTCACTCCCCTCAGCAGGCTCCTGACTGCTTTCCTGAACACCTTCTTTGATAGGAGTGTTAACAGCTGGATGGGACTTCACAAAAACAACAGAACTGAGACTTAAACCATTTCCTGAAGTACACAGTAACAATACTGAGAGGTCCTCTGCCACATGTACATTACTGAAGAAAGCATTACGCTAAGGAACCCCTTATTAGAACTACAATATTGAAGTATATCTTATCTCATTAATTTCCACACTTTTCAGTTTAAACTGCATTTCCATTATTAAACTTCCAAGCTCTAATGGTGTAATAACTTATTTTCACACTAAAAATACTGTAATATAAGGTTTTTCTTATGTATAACTTAAAAAAAAATAAAGGTTGGTTTTGGTCATACAAAACTTGTCATGCTACCACCAAGAAGTGCTTGTTTAAGTGACCTTTTAAGTAAGCCAACTACCTGACCCTGAAAACATGAGCAAAACAAAGAAGTTCGTAATAAAAGCTAAAGATAGGAAGTTAAAAACACAGAGACAGAGAAGATGAAGGCAAAATTACTCTTTTTTACTCTGTTACATCGTGGATAGCATTCTCACTCTTAAATATTAGCTACTTCAAACAAAGCTGGCAGAACTCCCCCGACTCTATTCCCCTACACTGAGGAAGTGGTTTTGGAATTAAGCCCAAGCCACAAGCCCCCTTTTCTGCCTTCCACCTCTCTTACTAGCAGTGACAAGCAGCATCTGCAAAGTATAAATACTCCTTTCAGAACACTCCAGCTAGTTCTGGCAGTTAGAAACAGATAACATGGCTCTCAGAGGGACTTACCAAAGACAAAACACGCCCAGTAAAAGGACAGGGGGGAAAAAAAAAAAAAAAAGGAAAAAATTGCAAGTGAACCCCCCCTATATGAACAGCCGACAAGTCTGTCACTTGTAGAAAGATATTATCCTGCATCCTGAACCAAAGCTTGATTTTGCCAACACATCCATGTGCTTACCTACTCCCCTTACCTGTCTGTGGCCAAACAAAACTATCTATCTACTCACTCTGAATTTTTAGGCTCTAACAACTAAACTCTCTTCCCTGCTACAGTAACCGTATTTTTAAAATCAAAAGAACTGTGTGTAGATCAAGTATGTCTTATGAGGAGTGGCTGAGCTACATGCCAGAGGTGGCTGAGGTACAGCTGGATGGAGAGGTGCTCCCTGCAGGGGTGCCCACAGAGTGCCCAGACCAAACGCCCACACAGGGCACGATGGACACTGGGGAAAAGTGGCAGGGCAGGAGGGAGGGACGCCGGATGGAGGAGGCACGAGGGGAGACATCTGAACCAGGCTGCAGCCCAGAGGAGTGGCCTCATCAGGGGCAGAGAGCGAACAGCAGGGGACTCTGAGGGGACTGCTGCCCATGGAGTGGCCCACACCAAAACCACTGCATGAGAAACAAGGAACAGCAAAGTAACTGCTACACACCAGCCTCCACCTCCTGCGCTGCCATGGTTTCACCCAAGGGACTGGCTGCTGATGTCCAGTGAGGGGGCTGGAGACCAGATAGGGGGGAGCAGAAGTGGCCAGAGGGAAGCTGAGGTGGGTTTCTCAGAGTTTGTCTTTGTTGCTCATTAGCAGAAAAAAAAGCTCATGTCAATTGGCTAAATTGTGCCAAGTTCTCTGACATGAGTGTTTTTCTGCCCATACCATACCCATCTTTGGCACAGATGGGGAAGTGGGGCCTCCGAAGCCATTTTCAACCACTTTGGTACCCCTAAAACAGATACACACTTCCTCATAAACTCCCAGTAAAATTATATAAATATCTACATCAAGCACTCTTAAACTTATTTTCCTTCCCTGACTAAAACATACAGAAGCCCTACCCCTCAAAAAACCCTTAGCTGTTAAATTAAGGCAGCCAGTGATTGTTATCAATTAGATAAGCATCCTTCCCTTATCACTAGGAGGGACAAACTACTGGCCTTTGTTTCTCCAGCTTTGAGAACAGGATGCTAACCCAACATCCTCATGAAGAGGGAAGCTGCAACACAGTCAAAATGCCAAGGGAAATAACAAGGACATGAGACAAGGTACCTCTGAAGTCTCATCACTGTGAACTGTACGCTATTCTGCAAAGGACTGAAGAAATAAAGCTCATTTCAGCACATAAGATGAAACAAGTAAAACCAAAACAACCCCCAAATCTCACACTACAACTTCCCTATTCTTGGACAAGTGGAATGTTCCTCTGTCTTATCTATAATCTTTAGTGGAATGGTGACAATTTTTCAGTTCTGAGAACTAAACACGAAAGATAGTGCTCTGTGAAAAAAACATGGAAGATCCATGACTGATTAACCTGACATCACCAAAGACGCTCAAGGAAACCATCTCTGAATTAAACTCTTACTGGCGGTTTTACTGCAGATCAAGTTAACACTTTCTCTGCCCGTTTTACATCCTGGATTTATTCTAGAATGTCAAATCTAGTCAGCTGTTGGCAGATGTGCTCTTTCAGCACCACCAAGAACTGCCCACAAGTAAAAACAATAGCTGGCTAAATTCTAAGGACTTGATATTTCTCTAAATAAAACTTTCTCTTAACAATGCACAGGACAGGAAGAAAAAGCCATCGAAAGAATGGCTTTCTAAAGTTAAGGTGAAAATTCAGGAAATTTGCACAAGTCTACTGGATCCCTACTAAGAAAAGTATCTTCATCCAGTAATTTTAAGGTACACTTATTTACAGGAATATGGCCCACTGAAAGAAAAAAACTCTTTTTTTTAAACTAAAGAAACAGGAGGGGAAAAAAGGCAAAACCCAACTCATTCGCTCTTGACTGAACCCAACCAGTTCACAGAAGGACTCTGTGAAAAAACAATTGCTCAAGCTGAAGTATCCGAAAGGAACTCAGGAGGTGAAAAGGACTCTGCCACAGAAGAGCTTCCAGACCAAGAAAACAGCCTGCTTGTTATCTCTTGGCAGTATATTTTGTGTATTTCCAATTGTAAATGTATTTAGGAATGTCTGATGTGCTATGAAAACAATGCAGAGCACCGCTTAATTGAAGCTGCCAATTCCTGCTGT